CAGCTGTCTGCTAGTGCAGAGAAAGCGAATAGTCGTTCTGAAGGGATGAAGACTGCTCGCAGTATGGAGGCGAAGCCACGTGATTTATCACGGAGTGGAAGCGTAAAAAGGAAAGAGAAACCAAAATCCAAATGGGCTCCCTTGAAGGACAAGGATCTATTATTCGGCGGTTCAGAATCGTTCAAAAGAAAACAAGAGTTTAGCCGGATTTTTAAACCTTCATCGAGAAGGAGTAAAAAGAGTAAGAAGAGTAAAAAGAAGAGGAGTAAGGAGAGAATCGAGGAACAAAACCAGAGGAGTAAGGAGAGAACTGAGGCACAAAACGAAGGTTGTGAAAAGCGCATTCTCTTCTTTATTGTAGCACAAGGAATTATGGAAGCTAGGCGTAGATTGATAACTAGATATCATGAACTCTTATCACTTTCCAGAGAAGAAGAAGAGTGAGGTTTCCAAGCCGGTCGAAACCAAGGATAGCAAGTTAGAAGAAACAGATTCGATGAAAAAGAAAAGGTAAATTGCTTAAAATATCACCGATTTGGTTCACTGCCATTGGAATGGGGCATAATTTGTAGGATTTTGGTTGCCTCTGCGCCCTGGAAACCTTCGTTTGCTGGGTGTTAGTGGGTAAACGGGTTAGAAGCAGAAGTATTAACATATCTCTGCTTCTAACCTGTATATAGCACAACAAAGGAAGCCTAAGAAGTCCTGTTTCTGGGGTTCGCCCCACACCCGACCTGTATGCAGAACCTAGGGTTCAAGTGCCTATGAGGCCCATACAATGAGATGAGGGGGCCAGCCGATGTTCAAATCAGTGCCATTACCTTCAAAGACGAGCCTTGCATCAATCAACTCGACTCTGGAGGAATGTATAAGGTTTATTGTCCCCTAGCGGGCGTTGGCCCTTATTCGATCTCCGGACCATGTATAAGGGATAGGGCGCCATTGCCACTACACCACATTCGCCAAAGCGCATCAAATGTATCACCTAAACGACTCATCAGTATTTCTATACTATGTAGATAAATAATTTATATAGCTATTTATGAATAGTTCTTGGACGAACAACTAGTTCAAGGTTGAAAAAAAGTCTGAGCAAGAAAAGCGAGAATATGACTGAGTTCGAGGAAATGTTTTAGAGAGAACTAATTTAAATATTACCACAGGTCTCTTTTGGAGGAGAAGAAACCCGAAGCGGATCGCAGCAGCAAATCAGTTAGCACGAAAAGTGATCAATTCAAATCTATTCGCATAGAAAATTCAGAAAGGAAAGAGGTACCATTGATGATGAAGACGAAAAGTGACCATAGCAAAAAATCAGGGAGTACGAAAAGTGGAAAGAAGAAAAAGATCCAAGTCGAGGAAGGAAATGTGGAAGGCTCAAAGAAAAAAGCGAAAATGCAAAATGTTGCAACGTTGACAAAGAAGAAAGCCGGTGGCAGTAGTGAATCAATAAGTAAGAAAAGTGAAAAAATAAAGAAGGATAAGGTCAAAGAAGGAAGTGCGAAGGGCTTGAAGAAAGGGCAGGATACAGCAGTGATGCGGAAAAAGAAAACTGGTGGTAGCAGCAAATCAGCAAGCAAGAGAAAGGAGAAACAAAAGGGCAGCAAAGCCAATAGCGTTTCCTTCTCCTCTTCTACGAAAAAATCAAAGCAGGAGAAGTTGAAAGACGAAAATGGTAGTGCGAAAGGCTCAAAGAAGGTAAAGAAAAAGCAGGATGTAGCTCTAATGAGGAAGAAGAAAAGCGGTGGAAGCAGCAAGTCAGCAAGTATAAAAAGTGGAAAGATAAAGAAGGGTAAGGTCAAAGAAGACAGTGCAAAGGGCTCAAAGAAGGTTGCGAAAGGGCAGGATGTACAAAACATGAGGAAGAAGAAAAGCGGTGGAACGAGTAAGTCAGAAAGTATAAAAAGTGGAAAGATAAAGAGGGATAAGGACAAAGAAGGCAGTGCAAAGGGCTCAAAGAAGGGCCTGAAAGGAGAGGATGCAGCCGTGATGAGAAAGAAGAAAACTGGTGATAGCAGCAAGTCGGGAAGCAAGAAAAAAGAGAAACAAAGTCGCAGCAAAGTTAAGAGTATCTCTTTCTCTTCATCGCAGAAGAGCTCAAAGCAAAAGAAGGCTCAGAGCGAGACCGGTAGTGCGAAGGGTTCGAAAAAAGCAGCGAAAAAGCAGGATATAGCAGTGATGAGGAAAAAGAAAACCGGTAGCAGCAGTAAATCAGCAAGCAGGAAAAAAAGAAAAGAAAATCGTAGCAGAGTCAAGAGTCTTTCTCTTTCTTCTTCTACGAAAAAATCGCAACAGAAGAAGGTTGAAGATGTTAAGCCTGTTGGGGTAGCTTCGAAGGAAAAAGAAAAACAGGATGCTCCCATTGTAAAACAAGGCACAAGTAATAAGAAGGAAGAAGGCGAGAAAGTGAAACGACCAAGAGAGAAAGTAGTTGTTGCAACAGGAAGTTTCAGGTACGCTAGTCCTTCGCTTATCATCTGTACCACCGTTCTCCTGTTGTTCACCGCCTTCCTAAAGCGGGTGTCAGAAACGCATTCATTCGTCCCTGTCGTGAGCCTGAGTTGTCCAGATCGTCATCCTAAAATGACACGAGGCATAGCATCCCTCTCGGTCGTTTCGCGCGTTCGGCCAAAATAGGTCACGCTGCAGCCGTCGCACGCGGCGGGTCAGCGCGGCGATACTTGACGGACGTCGCAGCTGTCACTGGGGCATACAATTTGCGCTCAGTCAGCTAAAAGAGAAGATAGCATGGACAAAAATGCACTCCACTGACACTTGGTAGTACTGCATTGTCAGAGGGATGACCTAGTTCTGACGGACGCGCTGAACGGACGTCCCCCCTCGGTCAGAGCTTTGGTGAAGAACGTTAACCACCGATCTGGCGGTCGTTCTGGTGTTCGTTTGGGTGCTTTCAGAGTGCAACGACCGACCGAGCGGTGGCCAACGGCGGCGCTGGCCACGTGCTGACAACGCTGGACACATTGCATTCAGGAACGCGTNACGTAGCTCTGAATTTCTAGCCATACTTGAAAATGTCAGGAACTTTATGCATTGATCTTTCCCAACACATTGTTTTNAGGTACGCTAGTCCTTCGCTTATCATCTGTACCACCGTTCTCCTGTTGTTCACCGCCTTCCTAAAGCGGGTGTCAGAAACGCATTCATTCGTCCCTGTCGTGAGCCTGAGTTGTCCAGATCGTCATCCTAAAATGACACGAGGCATAGCATCCCTCTCGGTCGTTTCGCGCGTTCGGCCAAAATAGGTCACGCTGCAGCCGTCGCACGCGGCGGGTCAGCGCGGCGATACTTGACGGACGTCGCAGCTGTCACTGGGGCATACAATTTGCGCTCAGTCAGCTAAAAGAGAAGATAGCATGGACAAAAATGCACTCCACTGACACTTGGTAGTACTGCATTGTCAGAGGGATGACCTAGTTCTGACGGACGCGCTGAACGGACGTCCCCCCTCGGTCAGAGCTTTGGTGAAGAACGTTAACCACCGATCTGGCGGTCGTTCTGGTGTTCGTTTGGGTGCTTTCAGAGTGCAACGACCGACCGAGCGGCGCCTAACGGCGGCGCTGGCCACGTGCTTACGACGCTGGACAGATTGCATTCCGGGTCGCGTGAATCATGAAGGCGCGTGATCCATCGCTGTCCAGTGTTGTCAAAACGTAGCTCTGAATTTCTAGCCATACTTGAAAATGTCAGGAACTTTATGAATTGATCTCTCCCAACGCATTTTTTGACCCTGATTACATGCTCAGCTGCCCATGCTGATTTTGAGTCTGATGATGAAATGTATGCAAGTGAGGCCGGATGAAGGAGTGCTCCATACAGATCGTCCAGGAATGGTAGGGTTCAAGTGACCTGCGCGAGTGTCTATCCTGGATTTGACACCAAGATTGGGGTGTGTGTCAAGTCGTGCGTCCGAGGGTGCGCGCGGCNNNNAGAATAGGTATGAATTTCGCCGCGCAATTTGCCGCGCTCGCTCTCGGACGCACGACTTGACCGTCCCCCCCAAGATTGTCACTGTGTGTTCGTGCACAACATTCCAAGTAGTTTTAGATAATTTCTATCGCCCACTTCTGTATTTGTTGAGTAGCTGGAGATAAAGTAGTCCTGATCGCAAGCTTAATCATTTTCAAGAAATTTTTTCCTTGAAGAAAACATCAATTCGACTATGTTGTTCACTAAAAACTCAACTCTTTCAGCAAGATGAACGATAGCTCGATTGCTAGAAAACCTGAAGAGGCAACAGAAAAGAGTGATAAAATGAATATTTTGATGCAAAAGCTTGTGCCTGATGATTCCGAAAGAATGAAAGCCGGCAACAGCAGCAATATAAAGAAATCTAAAAAGAAGCGTCCCGAAACGAGAAAATCGTCCAAAGAACCTCAAAATATGTCTGATCTCATCAATGAAAAACGCTCTCCCCGGCCTGAAGAACGCAGTGCTGAACTTGACCGGCGAGTTTCCCGTTAATACGTATATAGAAATAAAACTCCTAATAAACTATTGTACAACTTATCTCGATTCGTCTCAATTACCATCTGTTCATAAAGTTATAGTAGCATTTGTCAAGCATTGGCAGATTTCAAGGCTTGCGTCAAATGATTAATTTTCTACGACTGCGCTAAAACTCCTGAAGTACGATGCCTAATTCATTCCTTACAGTAATGTTATGTATTGGTTACCCATGCCGCTGAAAAGCGAGTTTATTTGAAAGGAAAAGTAGGAGCAATCGTTCGTATATTTCATATGTTTACGTATAGAGGAATGTAGAGGAACATTCAGTTTCAATCTGTACGATTATTCGGGGCCCATTCGATTGCGAAGGAGGGGGCGACATGAGAACACATTTGATATAATATTGGTAAGCTGACTAAGATGGGTTCCACAGATTCAGCTCCTGAAAGAGTCCTACCAGCACGACAGTATACATTTCTGCCCCCACGTGTGTGTCTAGTGCATGTCGGTCGGTAGAGAATGCGAAGGAAGTTGATAGAATAATTTTGGAAGAAAGAACTTAAATGACTCACATGAATTGGGAAGGCTGTAAAGATACGCAGTGTAGCGGAACACCATTATTCTACAGTAAGTATTACGGTTATCATTCACACAAAAGAGAGTTAGCTAGGGGACATGATGTCTGCTTCGTCGCTCATGGAATCTCGTCACTTTCGTGGAACGCTCTTGATATTGGCAAAAAGACCTGTTTCCGCTAACGATAGGGCATCCGCCTTTATGCCTGTCATTTCGCTTGCAAAGTTTTTTGCCTGAGCTCTTAGCGTTTAAGGAAAGAAAAGGAGAAAGGTAGCGTGTTGGAAATATTAATGATTTGGCAGAATGTGGTAGTTTTCGCCTGAGCTCTTAGCGTTTAAGGAAAGAAAAGGAGAAAGGTAGCGTGTTGGAAATATTAATGATCTGGCAGAATGTGGTAGCTACAAAAGCTGATAAGAAGTATTAGCAAACAAATAACTCATTTACTTTATCGCGTACTCTGTTAGCTTTCCGTATGCAAGTAAGCAGTGAAACTTGAAATCCAAAAGTTGGAAGAGGTTCAAGAGACGGTTGAAGAAAGAGCGCTTGCTTTGATAAGGCGTCAATTACAGGAACTATTGATAATCATTAAGCTGTCAACTTCAGTTTGGGAGTGGACTACCGCCAGCATATACTCGAAAAAGACCTGCAAAAGTCGGTGCTACTGGTGAGGCCCGAGCAATTGAAACAGGATGGGAACGATGCGTGAGTTGCACTTCTATGTTGAGTTGAAAAAGCCTGATAACTGCTTGTATGGTTTCTTTTTCTACTCTTCAAAGCTTTTTTGAGCCCCTCCTTTCCAAGCTACACGAACGTAATTGAGTCAGTTCCGTTTTGGCCCTCAGAACTCTGTTAATGATTTAGTTTACGTTGGCG